TGAGAGGCCTGTCCCCCTGAGCTAACATGGATGGGAGGGGACTGTGTGCAGTCCCAGTTTCCAAGTAAAATGAAGACTGATGCCTTTGAAGGCAATTGTGGAACTTCTCACTGGTGGCCCCTGAGAGGCTTTCTCATGAAGCACAGCAATTTCTGTGCTTTATAGACATTTTTACCAATAAATTCTGAAAGACCTATGAATAAATGGTACTGAATACTTTTTATTTTAAAGCCACAGTTTCCTTGTCTTAAGTAAAACCAAGATGATTAAGTGATTATTTCACATTGTTTTCTGTTTTTTTTTAATTAGCAGCTTCAAATATTACAACAATGAAAGTGGAATAAGTGTTTATTTTGTATTAATAAAAATGAATTTTGACAAAAAAATTAAATGAAGAGGAACAAAGACATGAACAAAGTGCTGGTCAAGGAAAGAAAAAATGTGTATGATCAATGATTTTAAGTTCTTAATGACTTCAACTTTCAGATGATCAAAAAAGTGAGACATTGTAATCAAGGAATAGCATAATATTAATAAATATTCTGGATATGTTACTTTTATTAGATATTAACAAGGATATCCTGGGTGATAAAAACTGTTAGTATACTCAGTTGTGAGCTACAAGGGTGGAGACTCAAATCCACCTGTAGACAACATAGAAGAAATGTTTGGTGATTTACTACTTAAAAATTCAGGCATAGAAAACCTTATTGAGCACAGCTCTACTCTGATACATAAAGTGTCACCATGAGTCAGAATCAACTTGGCATCAACTGGTATTAGAAAGGACATGGCCTCGATCATTGATTCTTAAGTAATTTGAGAATACAAAATTATCCATTGTGTGTCATTTTCTAACAATTCCAATATATTTAGCTTCCCTGAACCCTTAGAATTCATTCTTTACTACTATATCAAAATGACTTTAATATATTAACTCTTTTTTTTAAAGCTTTTTTTTTAAAGTTTTTATTCTAAGTTGAGTGAAGGTTTACAGACTCAGCTTTACATCCACCAAATTCCTTGCTTTGTTTCATCTCAATTATTACCATCCCCTCCCTGCAACAAGTCATTCTAGTACCTCCTTGTAACTCCCCATTTACATCTTATATTTCACAAATGAACAAAGCCAAAATATTTG